ATATATTAAAAACTAAAAATTATTATATATATAAAATGTGTTTTTTTTTGGTTTTGCTCTGGCGAAGTCACATTAAATCTTCAAAATCAATCGATCGAGATAAATCACCATGAACGATTAACTTTAAGCTTAACCAATGGAGCGAAAGTTGCAAATAAAGAAATAATAAAAATACTAGATCGACGAGTGTCGTTTCGATTTTCTCAGGTCGCGGGTGAAATCTGTGAGGAGTTCAAAAAACGGATTTGAAGTGTTTCTTTATGCTCATGGCTTATGTGCTAAATAAAGCCAAAAATTTGAATCAGGAAAATGAATGCAATGCTAGTGCCAGCAATTGTAACACCAGCCGAAACAAGTCTGCCACAAACAAAAGTCTCCCGTCTCTGCCAACAAGTAAAAAAAATTATGATGCCAGGAGCTAGTCCCGACGTCACTGGCAGCTTTATCTTTTGCTTGCTCAGCGCTTGTCAAGACAATTAGTCCTTCCTTTAATTCTAGAACTGCTAGAACCGGTAACGAGCTCAACCAGTTCTTACTGTACCTCGACAAAAGCCTCGGATTCAGATCAAGTATTTTTTCCCGCAAACGCCCAATGCCTCTACTAAATCGTTACCGCGAATAAAGCTAATTGCCAGCAAATTGTTCGGATTAAGAATCCTCTAGATACCAGTATGTTCCTAAAAACAACTTACTCTTTCTGACCACCAAAATCCCAAGTTCTGAAAATAACTGGACCATGAACTGACTGATTTCTGACTTTTTTCTCATATACCCAGTCACCAATATCAACACCAACGGTAGACATATTACTGCCTCTGGATGTTTTAGTATTGATGTTTTTATTTCCCATTCTTTTTCCCCAGTGCTAAAAACTTAACTTGTAAGTAATGTAAAATGTGACAATCATTAGAGTTCAAAAAATTATTCTATTGGCGATAATAGTAAAATAGTTACAGGATTAAAATAAAAGCGATGTTATTGTTAAAGGTACAAGGTGTTTCCTTAAAAGTTGACACCCCCCTAGATGGTTTATTTCAAATAAATTGTGAACGTGACCAACACAAAAGTTGTTTAATTTTACTGAAATGCTTTAAATTTGTATTTAAAATAAAAATATAAAGCACGGCAATGTAACAAAATTTGAGATAAAGTATTTTTTGAAATGAAACACCCTATATGTATATTTTCGGACAGCTTGATTGGATTTTTTTCCTGGTTTACGAAATATATACAGGGTTATTCACGTTATACGGCACGGAAGTTTGCGGCTAAACCGTTTGATTTTTAAAAAGTATTATTTTATAAATTGGCAGACGCCTACAGGGCGCACATTTTAAAAATATTTTTGCAATGTACAGAGCGTCCGAAAAGCCCTAAAAGTACCAAAGTTGGATTTTTCCAAATGAAATACCCTATATATTATTGCATTTTTGGATTCTCTGAGAAAAATGAGTGTTTGTTGAAATATGGTTTGTAATACCTAGAATTTCATCAAAATCTAATCTTATTTTTATGTGTCAAATACTTTAAAATTATTTGAGTTGTGTAAGCGTAATTTGTAGTGAGGTGTAACAAGAAATAATATTTTATATCCCAATGATAATACATTTACCATGTTAAACCAGTTATAACATAAAACAATACTTAAACACTTTTTGATCTATTTCTATTTCTTTAAAATCTTGCAAAAGTTGATTAGAACGAAACAAAACAAACCACAATCAGATGTAAACACCAATGTCAAATTACTACTTAACTTTTACATCTTTATCGGCTTGGAAGACGACTTTTGTTGTACTTTACAAGGAGAAAACTATAATTTTTATCTTTCAAATTATAAAAATCAGCCATCACACTTAGTGTCATTTGGGGGCCTGTGAATTTCTTTTCTATTTTTTTGCGCGTGTTCACGTGGGTGGTAGACGTAGTTTGTTGTGGAATACAGATGGAAGACGATATTTTTAAGATTTTAGGTTCAAATCAACGAGTAGCGTAAGTTTCATACAAGAGGTTATGAGTTTTTTATATTAATTTTTGGCGAGAATGGCAATTCTCCTGCAAGCCCATGTCGAAAGGATGCAACGGAAGACGTCCATATTGGAGTTCATATCATATGCATAACTCATGCTCAAAAAATAAAGCGGGAGAAGATGACCCGGAAATTTGTTATAATTTTTAAAACGTAATATACGAAAAACGGCTTATACAAATATATTAAAAATATATATTTTTCAAATTAAGAAAAAATCCTATTGGTAAGTTATTAAAATTTATTATTAGGGCATAAAAAAGACTTAATGTCAAATTTGGATATTTCCGTGTTTTATATGTTTATATTAAATTCAGATTTAAAAAATTGGAGTAAAATTAAACAACTTTTGTGCGGGTCGACGACGAATTAAACGACACAATCACCAACCTTTATTTCTTTATAAAAGACTATCGACCTATCGGAATTTGTCTGCCCACCAATTATTAATTAATTACAAACTTTAAAATCTATTCGTTACTATTGCCTTATAAGTCATAAATTTAAAGTAGTATAAAGTCATAAAATTGATATATTAATTATTTTAAACAATCGTCGTATGGTGTTGAGTGCATTCTGTAAATATCACAACTGTTTACATCCTCGTCCATACATAATAAACCTCGAATGGCTTCAAATATTTAATTGCTGAGAACGATAAAATTTCCGATGTAAACAACTGACTTACTTCAGGTCGCTTCCTCGTGCTACCTTCCTGGCGCAATTGATCCAATAAGCTGGTTTTTCCAATCCCCTGAACGCCCACTATCATAAGTTTCATTCGTGCATAAGGCTTGGCATCTTCCAGTACTGATTTTAAGTAACCGATTATGTCCATTGTTTTATATTTTTTACTTTCGATCATGAATTTTAGCGGATCTTGTAAGGAACAACCTCTCGTGTTCAAATTCCACAAGCGAGATAACAATCCCATCTGTGGTGGGAGCTCGGTTATTCCTATAAATAAACAGTAAATTTAAGACTGACTATTCATTTAAATCGATTTAATCTGGAAAGAAGTAATTACGATTAAATTAACTCAATGTGATAATTAGCACCACTATGACATAGTGAACATATATTCAAGGTAACTAATTTAGAAACAGACATTTGATATGTATGGGGGATTACTAATGCCGAATTGCTCAATTTTCACAAGACGCTTCTTAGACTACTAATTAATTAAAACCTTTATTAGTTAATGTTAAAGCATTAATTACCTAATCGTTTCATAATGATTAGCTAATCTCTAACCATAAGCAAGATATTTGTATCAAAAAGACTAAATATCAGTGAAACGTTCACCGTTAGATGAGATAGCCACTCTTAAGGCGGATTATTTATAGAAAAGTAGGTGTACAAATTAGTATCGCTACTTTTTCCGTTTGTCATTCATTATCTACGTCACCCGTTAAGCAGGTTAACGATAGACATTTAATGAAATTTATCGCCAACGACTTCGTACATCTCGCAAGTTTCTTCATTGCGATTAAAATGGAGACAACAACGTATCAAAATGTTTGAAAGGTCTCCCGCAAGGAATCGTTGCTTGGAAATTGTGACGTTTGAAAGATCATTTTGGGGTTTCTGATAAAAAAAAATGTAAACCTGATAAAAATGTTGCATATACTCACCTAGATTTCCACTTATGTTCAGAACTGATAAATCAGTTAGTTCATATATATTAATAGGGATTTCCCTAATGTTGTTATTACTCATATCGAGCATGGACAAATTAGGAAACATCAGTCTGGCCTTAATAGTTTGAGGACTCTGCAAATAAATATGAAACGTTTTACTCAACGGACATATTTTTATAGATGCTTTAAGACATTCTTATACTCATGGGTCATACAAATTGGTTGATACAGGAATGTATGAATAAGCGAAGGTATTGTAAGGTAACAACATTTTCGAATAAATAAATTGACCCGATGTTTCGTAGAATTGCGCAGTTTTCCTTTGCTTGAAGTCTTACAAAACAATATTGCATTATTTGCAAACTCAAATATCCAAAATCTTGTTCAATACAATTCAGTCAAAAATAACAGATCTGAATAATGTTCAGTTCAGTTAAGATTGGTTTATTCGAAAATATGCTTGAATTGCTGTAAATGCTAAGAATGATCCTGGCCAAAGGAGGATATTTGACAACTTCTAATATGTTGCTGTTTTTGCATCAAAATACTCATTGGGTAGTTTGGTGCTATGCTATTGTGTGCAAACAAAGTTAAATAAAATGTAATTAAAGTGAACTCAGTTTGTGGCAGTCGTTTGCGACTGTCGTTGCAGGTACCAAGCCGGGACGGCGTATTACGAAAGCGCAGTGTAGAATGGCTTAGCAAAGACGCGTATTTTAAAGTGCCAATGTTTACTGCAATTCAGCACATCGTCCAAATCGTAATACTCTGAATCACAGTAAACAATGTTGTTAATTTTATCCCCCTGCTATTGGCCATTACTTACTGCATTACAGCGCCGCCGTCCCCATAAGCCCGCTAACAATTACCACGAAATATTATCATCAAATAAGCTGAATTTATAGTCGCCGTAACGTAAAACGTAAGACGTAGAGATGGTCGGTATTTAACGTAACGCTAAAATAACAGTGTTCCAAACGTGTAACCTGAAACCGTAGTTACAGCTAGCCGATTTAACAGGTTTTTTTTTGGAACCGTCTCATAAAACCGTGCCAGCGGTGCGCACTTCGTACACCGTCGAGCGATCTATCCAGCTGCAGCCGTTTGCCAATTTAAACCGTTGTTTTTGGAACTGTCTCGTAAACCTGAAAAACTGGTTCGCGTCAGCACAGAACCAACCGATGCAGCTACGTCAAGCGCTCTATCCAGTTGCAGCAGTTTCAGTTACCATTTGTCAACGGGAAATAGGTTGTATGTAGTTGCGCGTTGCCTTGATGATTGTGTATCACTTTTCTTTTATAAGAATTACTGTTCAGTTCTCCAGGAACCAGCGAAAATTTGTTTAGTTGCTGCGAAGATATAATTCAGCATTTTTAGTCTGTAAGTATTTAGTTTTTTGACATTCTGTAATAAATCTTAAAAAGGGGGATTTCTCAAGAAAATTAGCTTGGGAGTTATATGCCCATTACCAGCAAACTAAGCAGCATATGAGCTATGAGCAAACTAAGAGTCTAAGACATAAATTCCATCACAGTTGAAATGTAAAATAACAAACGTTTTAAGCAGAATGTGCACCTGCACTTAAGCATTTTTAAATTATTTAGGCCATTTTTAAATATAAATTCAGTTAGAGATGAAATGAAAGTTATTTGAATAGTAATAAACGTTGTAGGGTCGACATATTTTTTTTTGATGATTCCAAAATTAACTCGAGTAATACTTCGTCCAGGTTTGCCAAACACGCATTTCTGTTTGTTGTTATTGTGAATTATTTAGTGCAATTTTGAAATTTTGTGAAAGAAAAAAATGCAAGATATTATTTTCTAAAGCGGCTGCTATCATAATCAGTAAAAAGCATCTGCAAAAAATTGTTCTTAAATGGCAATTCATTTTTAAATGAAAATGAGATTTTTTAACATTTTCGCATATAAACCGTATATTTTATTTAATCACTCTAGTTTATAATCACATTTTTTGTTCTTTAAGTAGTTACTTCTGACCCATGTTTTGTTTTTGATTTTGGAATATTTTATTTTTAGTTTGCCAATGTTAAAAATTATGTTTTTAATAAAGGAAATCATTATACAGGGTTGCTCATTAGTGCGTCAAAGTGCGATATCTCAGTAAATATGAACTTTACAAGAAAATACGTCC